AGTTCTCAAATCAAGGGCGAAGAACGGAAGAGAAGAACTGGCAATATACTCTCTATTCCAATCTTTTTACTCCACAAGTTTTTTACACAACGTTTGTAAGGAGCTGCAACCATTATACCATGTTATACATGACAGCTTAAGTGATAAATATAATAATAAAATAAATTAAAAACAAAGATATGTTCTCTATCAGCAGGAGGCATGGTGAAATAGGAGCACGCACTTACATTCTCGTGGGAACAATACGCAAGTGATCTAAATGTGCACGTTCTATACTATTTAAGTGTTCAATGTTCAAATGTCTATTATTTTGTCCAGGTTACATATAGTGATGAAATTTTAAGGCAGTACCTCCTAACTTAGACCAAGCAACGTCCGCACAGCTGCCCGACTGGTTTGTCCACTTCGGATTGATTTAACGTAAACGCGCGATTGAGCCTCCTTCGCGTTGCTCATCGCCTGGTACATTATTATCGGTTAACTATCTTTAGATTAACATTATGGGTTAGCATTATATAGCTTTATGTGATGCTCAATCATACTTTTTATTTTCTGAATTATATAAATGCATTGTTACAATTAAATATGTGTACTGGTAAGGACCACATTTTTTCGCCGTAAGATTATACGTGGCAAGCCCACAGGTAGGGTTGCCAACCATACTATATAATAACGTATCCTACTTTATTTTTGGTAATTATACTTTATACTTTTACATACAAATAAAGTATGCAAAAATACTTTATTGTCAACCTTTACTGTGGTGCGTAAAACAAAATACTCATTATGGGTACTTAACGATTCATAATTGCTGAACGAAATATTTAAAACGGATAATGGAAACAATTTGTAATTACTGAACGAAATGTTAGATGTCAGTTGTGACTTGTGACATTTGTCAATTGTCACAGATGTCTTTCATTATCGACGAAATTGTACAAAACTGGTCCGTTAGTTTTGTTTATAAGTGAAGAATGCATTTTAAAGTAAATATTAATGCTGAAAATGAGGAGTAAATATTAATGCTGAAAATGACGAGTAATTCTGATAGCGACACACCAGTGACTCCTAAAAAAGCTAAAATAACAAAAGTTTTACAAAAATATAAACCTGAGTGGGAAAAACAATACAACTGGCTAACAAGTGATCTTCAAAATAAAAGTAATGCAAAATGTATTATCTGCGGCGTGAATTTTACAATCAGTTCAGCTGGCATTGGACAGGTATGAAAATTTGTAAATGTGTTCAAATATTGTTAAAGCTACGTTGCCTCTCCTTTCGTATAGTTATTTTATTTACATTTTTTAACTTACTTACCTAACCTAATTCATTAGGTTTTCTTACATCTTTACAGAAAAAAGTCACCAGTTTGTATATGATAGGACTTTGTACTGAAAAGTTTTAAAAACAGTTATAGTTGCATGTATTTTTGAAATTTAGTTTGTATTGACAATTTATACATTATTTTTTAAGCATGAGCATGGGAAATTAGTTTCAATGTTTCAAATTCTATGAGTTATTTTAAAAATAATCTTATTACTTGTTATTATAATAATAATATATATATTTTTCATACTAATTGTCAGAATTCTGAAATGTTTATATTCTCATTCACATAATAGGGATGATGACTAAAAAATAATAATTAGTCCATCTTTTAGAACGCCAGAAAATAGTAGATACGTATTTTTTCTTTTGCTTCTAAAACTTAAAATAACAACGTTACAGAGCGGCGAAAGTTCGCGCTACGTCATTATTTCGTAAAATTTTTACGAAAGAGTGACGTCACGAGCCCCTACTCCTGAATTTGAATGTGCTGTATCTTTGTCAATATTATTCGTATGGACAAATAAAAAATACGTATCGAGTATTTTTCTATAATCTAACTGACGGACTAATTAGAATCTTGTTGTTTTAACCCAGGAGACATCCCTATTGTTTTTGGATAAAATTATATTAATAGACATTTTAATATTTGTCATTCAATTAAAGAATATTTGAAGAATTCATGATTCAGTATTATTTTGAAAATGGTGATGGATTAATATGGTGGAGGTTCCAGTTTTTGTTTTTTTCTTTCTACAGATTAAGCAACATCAAAATACTCAGAAGCATAAGATAAAAACTGAAATGAAGAAAACATCTGGTGCATTACAAAATTTCCTTACATCAGATACTAAATCAAGATGTCAAGGATCTAGTGATGATGAGAATATTATAGCAGCGGAATTAGCATTGACTTTTCACACTGTGAAGCATAATTTATCTTATAATAGCATGGATTGTCTAAGTAAATTAAACAAAATTGTATTTGTAGATTCTAAAATAGCTAGTAAAATACGCTTGGGAAGAACTAAAATGGAAGCTTTAGTGATAGAAGTGTTAGGTCCATATTCTGTGGAAAGTGTAATAAATGATTTACATGATGATGTATTTTTCTGTCTCCAGACTGATGCATCAAATAAAAAAAATATTAAGTTATTTCCTCTTGTAGTGCAATATTTTTCAATAAATGAAGGGATCCAAAATAAACTGATCGATTTTTACGAAAATTCTAATGAATCTGCTGATGGCATGTTAGAAGCTATAAAGAAGTCTATGGATTCCCACAACCTGTCATTCAATCAAGTATCAGGTCTCAGTGCAGACAATTGCAATGCTAATTTTGGCATTCATCACTCATTGTACACAAATATTAAAAAAGAAGTACCAAACCTTATAAAAAGCAACTGTCATGCACACATTATCCATAATACAGTGAAACATGCTATGGGCTACTTGATTTGTGACATAGAAAATATTGTTTTGAAAATATACAGTCATTTTTCGGTATCTGCTTGTAGACGAGATGATTTAAAAAAATTTGTTACTATGGTTGATGGTGAATTTCACGAAATCAAACGTCATATTGGTACACGGTGGTTATCACTACTTCCAGCCGTTGACACCCTTTTACTTAATTGGGAACCAATATGTAATTATTTTATAAGTTTAGGTGATAATTGTGCAATAATTATACAAGAATTATTAAAACTAAGTGATCATCAGGATAGGGAGGTTGTGGAAATTTATCTACACTTTACAAGCCACATGCTTAATATTTTTAATAAAACGATAAAACGTCTGGAAGGAAATGATGTAACTATACTAGATGTCTATAATATTATGGATAATTTAAGAAACGAATTAGAACAAAGAAAAACTGATAAGTACTTTGGTTATGAATCAAAAATGAGATTACAAAAAATTCAAAAGTCATCACCCGAAACATTCAATACAGTTGTCAGTAACTTTTCGCTTTTTATTGATATGAGCTTAAAATATATGATAAAATGGTTTGAGTTTAGCGAAGATAACTGGCTTTCAATACTTCCTAACATGTCTTTGAAAAATGAGGTAAAATTTGAACATTTTGAAATGGTTATTACAAAGGCCAAATTACAAGACAGATTAAATATTAAGATGGACGATATGTATTCCGAATCTATAAGACTTAGAGAAATCCAAAGAAAAGTCACTAATGATGATAAAGAATTTTTAGTGAAAAGTACAGTAGAAAAATGGCAATATATACTTAAAAATGCATCTGATAGCTTACCAAATATAAAAAAAAATATTTCTTACCTACTCTCCGTTCCTGCAACTTCAGCTTTTACTGAAAGAGTTTTTTCTGTAATGAATCTGAAGTGGCGAGAAGAGAGAAATAGAGCATCAATAAATTTAATTAAAAACGAATTGTTTATCTATTTAAATTTAAATATTGATTGTCAAACAAGCTTTGTAACATTTAAAGATAACAATAAATTGTTATCATGTGCTAAAAGCACACAAAAATACGTTTTTAAAGCAAAAAAAACATAAAATTTGAAATATACTTTTTTTTCTTCCTAATACTTTATTTTTTTCCTATCCAAACCACTGTTATACGTTTTATTTGTCAAAAAAAGTTGGCAACCCTACCCACAGGTGAACATAATCTCAAAGATTCCAAAATACATATTAGTTAATTCTGGTAAAGCATGGAAATTCATTCAGAGTTACACTTTATTTAGATGTAATTGAATTAGTTAAATAGTATTAGCAAAGCAACCAACTCTGGGTTTGAAATTATCTAAAAAAATGACACAATACCTACTTTAGAGTATGGGACCTATTAGAACTATTATGGGAAGTATTTGTAAAATGTTTATGCCCTAGTGTTGGTAATCATAAAATATTTATGAATTAATAAATTTAGTTAGGAATCTCATGACCTGAACCGCTTACAACATTTCAATTTGTAGAATATGTAGAATTAATTAGATGTGTCATTAATTTAAAAAAATAAAACGATTTATTTTAATATCACTTATATCATATATATATGTATATATAATCTAAATTTAATGTGTCCATTCAATTGCTTTGAACTATATGATGAGAGTTATATATAATGTAGTTTATTATTATGAAGATAATTGTCAAATAAGTACTAGTACTAAGTAAAGTGATATCCTCAAAATATCATAAAAATTAAAAAAAATTACTTTATAATAGGTATATAATTAAAATAAATAAATTATAATCAATGTTGAGCATGCCCTTGAATGATTAAAAGATAAGGAAATAAATACCCCATGAATATTTAAGTGATGTAAATTATATTCTTATTTTTTATTATGCTTTTATGAACAAAGAATTTCATTTTTATTTTTATTTAATTGAAATGTGTAATGCATGCCCTGCAAGCTTTCTGCAATTAAATCTCATATATTCCATGGAGTAGTATAAATTAATACTATTCATGCACCACCGAAAAAAATATGTTGGTGTCATGAATTCACTGTACAAATTAATTAAGAGTAACAAATATTTAGTAATTTATTTAAGGTAAAATGAAAGGAATATTGATAACTTATTTTACTGAAACTGTTTCTTCTAAATATGAAAGAAAACTCATTTCATAGATGAATTATTCAGTAAGAGAGACAATAATATTCTTATAATATACAGAAAAGAACTTACCTGACATAGAGGACTGATAAACCATTGACAATCCTTCTCCAGCCAAGTGGAACAGTAATGCTCTGTGGGATTTCACTTTGTGTAGTTCTTTCTGACTCCTGCACAGGAGGCAACACAGCAAGCACAACACCCTCAGCAGTCCGCACCAACTGGGGGCTGCCCTCATTATCACTTATAGACCTATTCAGTATATTTATACTCTGATTCACTATAGACTGGTGAGTTACACTCTGTTCTAACAGATGGTAGTTCACATATTTTCCTAAATCTCTCTCACTGTTTTGCACTGAATCACTAGGCACACTTATGGGCATCTCCGTTCCACATCGCTGGAACTCACCACTGTCCAGCTGTAAGTATTCACTGTCCCAGGTGGTTCTCTTGTCACTGGGCCGTTCTTCACTTCTCTGCTCTTTTATGAATGTTGTCTGTGAGTCGACGAATTTGTCAGGTTCACTGTAGGGTTTGTAGAAGTTCCTATCGTTATAGACGGTTTTGGCGGGCAGGTTCTCGTAGAGCGCGTCGAGACGCTGCGGCGGTGTGTCTGGGCTGGCGGCGGCCGCCTCTAACTGGCGGGGCTCCGCCACGTACAGCAGCACGCGCGGCGCTCCAGCCACGCCCGCCCGCGCCGCGGCGACACTCGCGGGCTTGCCGGACATCTCGCACACACATCACACGCCACATGGAACACCCTCTCACGATACCACTCCAGCACACGACCCGCCTGACCCGATATGAGCATCGCTCGCCGCCCGCTCATCGCTCCGAACCCAAACACACTGCACCATCCTTTTCTTTACGAGTTTATGACGTCCAAAACAAACGTGACAGTTTTATGGGGGAGCCTCCTTCGACCCCATTGTACTTTTATTGCAGGAAATAAAAGATAATGACTATTCACTACTGTGTCTGATCGGTTAGCTAGGATCCATATTGACACTTCGTAAAAAGGTCAACGATTAAAAATGTTTTTTTATCATCTAAACAAAACACTTCACATCAATACACTGCGCAAATTATAATATTTTTTTAATATTTCACGATTAGAAACATTATTTTTTAATGTTTTGTGATGGTCGCATAATATTAACACCGTTTTAAACGCTACAATTGAATAGTTGAATACGACACGGTGACGAGTGAAAGACTCTGAGCTATTAAATACGACTAATAGCTAAAGCCTTTTAATATTATTTCTTTAAATGGCTTCATGCGGGCATCAGAATATGCCGGGTTACATTTAGTTGAGGCTACTTCCAATAACAAAAGCAACCAATAAAATCTTTTTGTGTTAGTTCAGACAAACATTTGATTGGTTTAAATTTACTGCTGTGTTAACAAGAAAACGTTTTCATATGAGAGAGAAACATAGGGCTTTATTAAATGAAAGAGATAGATATGGTGCACACGGTAAGATGTACGAAGGGGGAAGAGTTTGACTGTTTGACTGACCATTCGGGAATAACCATAGCTTATAAAACGCAATGTATTGATACTTTTATTACAAAATATTGCTATTGTCATGTGTACGTCATTGTCAATTCTGATAAATGTTGCCCAATTGAAGCATAAAATTGTTGATACGATTAGAATCCTAAATAATTTGCTTTACCATTCGAGTAATAATCATCCTTATCAGCATCCGTTTAAGCTCGTTTATAAATATAGACTATTTCCCTATAAACATTAAACATCATAATTTCGTTAAAATAATATGGTCATCATTTCATGTTAATATTAATTGTAATTAAAATATGTTTTAATTTCTTCAGTATGTAATTAAAGATACGATAGTGCAGTATACTAATATCTCAATTATGAAACTTAAATAACACACAATTATTATGAAAAAAAACGGATAAAATAATAATATAATATTCACATTATTATTTGTAAAATGCTTCAATATACCATACTGCTGCGAATAGTATTATATAGTAGTAATAATAGAATAAAATATTTTAAAATATATTTCTTTACGGTCATAAAGTTCCGTCTGTCAGCTGTCATCAATCAAAATGTGTAAACAATAACCTCAACTGACAACTGTAACTTTACACTTGTAAACTCTCATATCTCAAGCACAAGTCTCAAACATGTATTTTTATAACTAATCTTTGAGGTTACATTTTAGACGAACGTAACATAGATTTTAAGAATAAACATTGTAGTTATAATTAAATTGTTAACTGGAACCTTAATTTGCATAGTGCACGCATTTTTGATTTCCGGAGTCGTCTAAACAAATTAATAACGCCATGAAGAGAAAACATAATCAAATCGATGCTGAAGAAACCAAGTAAGTTCATAATATCTTATTAAATATCTCTTATTTTGTCAAATCAATTGATCTATGTTAATAATTTCTTATATTTTTCACAGGTTATCGTCATTGCTGTTTAACAAAACTAAAAAGTTTACAGAAAAGTTAAACAGAAATGTAACGAGTCTTAGTGAAGTTGATCGCAAACCTGCTTGGATCGACGATGATGATCGTCAGTTTAAAGTAAACACTGTTATTCCTAAGGTTAAAAATGATTCATTGTATACAGAAAAACTCAAACAAAAGTATGAAACTCTCATTGGATCACCAAATTGGGCGAAAATTAAAGATGCTTCAAATAAAGATGAATCTGGATCAGATATTGTTAAGACAGTTGGTCACTTAGACAAAGAAAAAGTATCTAAATTTGAAAAAAACATATTGGAGATAAAAAAGAGTACAACAATTATACCACAAAAAGGTGCAATTACAACCTCATTAAAGTTTCATCCCAAGGTTAGCGCTGTCATGTTAGCAAATACATCAGGCATTGTTTCACTGCATTCTTTGGATGGAAATAACAAACTTCATAGTTTTAAGCTTAAAAGTTGGACAATATCAAGTACACACTTTAAACCTGATGGATCAGAAGCTTATATATCAGGTGTTAGACATACCTACTGCATTTATGATTTAGTTAAGGCCAGTACTAAAATTGTCCAACTTCCACATGCCTTAAAAAAGGCTGTTCATTTTAAATTGTCCCCTGATGGTAAATTTATTGCGGCCTCTGAAGGATTTAGTGAAGTTTTTATTATTTGTGCTGACACAAATGAAGTTATAAAGAATATCAAAAATAATTCAAATGTAAAAGCAATGACATACAGTCACGACTCTAGAGAACTTTACTGTTTTAATGATCTTGGTGAAGTCACTGTTTGGAATATGACAACAATGAAACCAATTAAGAAATTTTTCGACAGTGGATGTATTACACCTTCAAGGATATCTATGAGTCATTGTGGGCGTCTTTTAGCAACAGGAACAGCTGAAGGAATTGTCAATATTTATGATACTGCTGAACTAACAACAACTAACCCTATGCCATTAAAAACTATTTCACATTTAACTACAAAAATAACTAACATAACTTTTAACCCAACCTCAGAAATGTTGTCAGTTTCATCAAGTTTCCTTCCAAATGCCTTAAAAGCTCTTCACATACCATCATACAATGTTTTTCCAAATTTTCCACAGAAAAATTTACAACTTATTGAAACAGTTGGCTTCTCCCCAAATGGTGGTTATATGGGTATTAGTAATAACAAGGGTATTGTCAATCTGTTCAGATTGGGTCATTTTAAGAATTATTAGATTTTTGATGTTTATAGTAGTTTTATTTTGAAACCAGATATGTCTTACCCTAATTCATGTTTGAATTACAAGAAATAAACCTACTAAGAACATTATTGGTACATATCTAAATATCATTTATTTGAAAAAAAAAATGCTTTATTATGAATTTTCCCACAGGACAAGAACCTTATATTTAGTAACATCAAATTTGTAAAAATATTCAGAAAAGAGTTTACTACTACTAGTAACTAGTTAAACATATTTTAATGCTATGTTTTTGTGTACTTGTTGGTAGTTGTCAAGAAACCCTATGACACCAGTAGTCTTGCATGGGTTGGATAAAATTTATGAATAAAATACCAAATATGTATTTAAATGTTTATTTATTGAGTTACAACAAATTTAAGCAGTTACACAAATTCAATTCTTTCTACCAGGCCCTATATTACATGATCAAACAGTCACCAAAAACTATTAACTTTAGTAAGTTAAAATATAAATTATGCTAGTGTTTATTAAGACGAGACCAGTGAATCAAAGACAATATTGATATATGTTATCTTGTAAAATGCTGTTTGCTTTATAGATATCCCAATAGATAATTATGGATTTATATACTAGTTTTAAGTATCTAATGATACTATATTCAAATTTGTCGGACACAATATCACCTTTGATGACTTGCCTTTAAAATTAACTTAGGTAATATTCTAGAAAAATTAAAATCACAGAACTTTGAATGATACTAGTCTCATGACGCCCAGGACCTATTAGTTTATAACTATTGCATAAATCAATTATTACTAAAGATACTAGTAACCTTTAAAATTAAATTGTCTAATTTCGATAGAAACGCATTTTATAATTTCCAGCTATCAGTTTATATCAGACACAGTGTGCGGGACAAAATATTTTTAAAAGCACCAGATTAATTATAGTCAATAACTTTTTCAGTGCTGATGGATATAAAATGGCGCTAGATTTAGTTTTTTTATTGTAAAATAACACATTTTAACATTTACAAAGTTTCAATTGAATTTTATATATGGTGTGTATACAATTCTCCAATGAGAAACTTCCAAATTGGAATGTCAAAAAACTTATGTACAACATCAAGCAATGTAAAGTGGACGAAGCCATGACAGCCTATTCCTTTAAATTATCATAATAAAGGTAAGGGTAAAATTAAAGTTTAGTTTAACAAAGTGTTGGTAAAAGCAAAAAATCATGGCTGTATAAATTTAGGGAGTTGATGGGTATTGCAACTGCAGAAGAACTGCTGCAACTCCAGGACAAGACACGGACACTGATGGACAATATCCAGTAATGGAGAGGCACCAAAAGAAAAAAGTGTATAGTGTCTGGCACACTTAATGTCTAGATATAACCAACCCTTAAGTATATTTTTCACATAAAATTAACTTGCAAATAAATGAAAAATGAATATTCAAATGTAGCAAAATTTATTATTATGTATAGACCAAGTTATATATAAGTAAAATACTTAAAGAAGTGATCATTAAAATGTATGGAAATGCGTCATGATAGTGTTATAATTAAACTATTAAAATACAATGCCATACAAGTTCCAATACATGCGTCAGTGTTTAAGGAAAACAATTATATCTAGATCTTTTTCTAAGGCTTCCAATCAGCAATTATCTGAAAAAATAAATATTGTTAGATATACATTAAATTATAAAAATAATTATAAAAGTTTTATTATATATATAGGGCATAACCAATTTTTTTAAGTCTGTGTTGTGTTATTTACTCAAACTGTATATTAAAAAAAAGATATTGTATCAATTGTCCTTTAACTCTAAATTTCCATTTTACTTTGACCAATGTCATGCATATATACCCAAAGAATATGAAAAAAATTATTGGTGGTTTATAGTCAGGTATTCTGAAATAAACTTAGTAGGTAAGGTGTTACAGTGTTTCTAAAAAATCACATAAATCAGATTATCTCTTCAGTAGTTTAAAGTTATGTATTATAGCTTTTTGTTTTATATGCCTATATGTTTGAAAAGACCCAACATTTTAACTTTTTATTGCATGAAATATACATTGTACACATAAAATTTTCTTTTTTATCTCACCAATAACAATTGGTTTAAACGTATGATGTTTCCAACTAAATATCTCATAAATATGAAGGTGAGCAAACCTTAGCTTGTGGCACACTGCACACGGTTCATTCCAGGTCCATCCTCCTCTTCATCATAGGTGTTGTGCTGCTGTCGCCGTCTCCTCATTTCTTGTTCCGGATCCAGTTCTGCTAGCTGACACTCTTCAGCCAGTTCCGGAATCTCAACCTGTAAAAACAAGTATGTACCATTAAAAAACCTTTGAAGTATATAGGGAATTCTATGTCCTTACAGTAATCTATCAACAAAAAAACTAAGTAACCAATAGCTCAATTACACTCTATACCTAAATTGGAGAAAAACATTTTCTGTTCTCGAGTTTTTTAATTTTCATAATTGGATATTTATATTTAAATTAGTGGAGTATTTATATTTTAAACATTTGAATTTATTATAAAAATATATAAATTGTTCCATATACCATAGCATTAAAAAAAATCTTTTTTCAAGCTGCAAGCATAGTAAAAGTACAGAAATTACTTTTAACAGAAAAAATAATCTCAGGGAAATCTCTTTTTTATAGTATGTGAAGATTACCATTGAAAAACGTCCTGACTTTATAGGCATCCATAAACCAGTAATTTTTAATTATCAATGATTCAAGTCTTACCCTTGGTCTAGGGGGAAGGCAGTTCTCAAGAGCTGGAATGATCTCAGGTGGAATTCGCGCCGGGAAATTAACTAGGAATTGAATGATGAGGAGACCCTTCTCAAATGGATTTTTGTACATTGGCATACCTGTAATAAAAAATTTAAAATAAATAGAATTTAGTAGCTTTAACTTTTTCCCCCTTTTTCAGGTAAACTTTATGTCAAGTTGAACTATAATATATTATGTAATAAGCTGTTAAAACACAAATTATTTACATTTTAGAATTTAACAAACAAGATTATGACGGATTCAATTCTCAGTGAAACAATAAGTGTATCAGGTTAAAAAATCTGATTTGAAAACTGATATTAAATTTAAAATCATACAATTCTTTTCATATATATATATATATATATGTGTGTACATTTTTTCTCTATATGAACAAATTTTATTTAATTATCTAAATGCAGTAAGTACCCATTACTAATACTTAAGGCTAGTATGACTGTAAATCTTACCTTCATTAAGAACACATTTAACTTCCCCATGTTTGGTGACTTCTCCAGGCAAAACTGTAATAACAATATCTCTCTCATCCAAAGTTCTAATCACCTTTTGGAAACCACAGAGTGCCTCCACTAATTCTATATTCAGCCTCACAATCAGATCATTGCCGGTACGTTTGAAAACCTAAAAAAAATAAAAATATTGAAGTAAATTTGACTTACATAGCCAGAAAGGGTTACAGAAATATTCAACATATTTTCATTTAGAAGCCCAAATGGCACAGTTCCTTAGTTAATGCTTTAAGGCTTTAATTATCATAATATTCACTTCACATAATATAAAAGATTAAGTGCCGTCAATTCTAACATCAGACACAAGAAAGTATTATCCTGGTGGTTAACAAAGAGAGAGCATAAACTTATATAAACATATAGAAATAGACTTTTCTTTCTATATGCGCAATGAATACTTGCTTGGACAATGAAGTTAAACATTAATAACGAAATATATAAATATAGAATAGAATATAGAAATTTTAAACTACACTTATTATGTTTAAATACATATTATATAGTGATATATTATGCCGAGTCATGCATTCTTATTTATCGTCAGCGATAGTGACGTAACTGCTAATGAGAAGCATTTACACCCGGGTTCATTATTTAGGAATTTATCAACTTACAATTGTTATGTATTAATTAATGAAATGACATTGGTAATTAATGTAAGGCCACATAAAAATTACTATGACAATTTCTATATAGTATGTGGACTAAACTACTTATAAGCATACAGATATTTTACTATATCTGCATTAATATATTATTGACAATCTAAACATAAATTATTATTTCATTAGTACCACTAAAAATTTCGAAAAATATATTTATATAATGTATATTAAAATGGGTTTTTCATGGATTAATTTACTATACTAAAAATAACACGGAATATCAAACTAAAATGTTAATTTAAGACAATTACAAACATACTATGAGTAACAAACAGGTTGAATGATATCTTCATATACTGTCACACTGCAAATATATTATGAATTTCCTAATTGACAATAAAAAATTATATTTATATTTGGAAATAATATATTTTAAACAAATATGTATAACTTTTAAAGAAATAAATAAAAACTTACATCATGCTCCTTCTCATCAAGCACAATAATAAGATCTCCAGCTTCCAAATCTGGCTCCTGGTCACCTTCACCGCTGAAGACAATCTTCTGACCATCAGTCATACCCTTGTCTACATGTACATCTAGAATCTTGCGATCACGTACTGTCTTACGGCCCTAAAAATGTAATTCATCTTTAGGAAACAGAATACCTCGCAAACATTGGACGAGCAGTTTCAAATTTGTATTGAACCTTTTGATTGCTTAATACAGGTAATAATTGTTATCACACACAAAATTTAAAAGAAATAAAAAAATCATGTTCTGTGTAAAATGTTACAAAACTATAATTATGTATTAGTGAAAAATTTAAACAGCTAATTTAAAGTCTGCATTCACATATGACCCTGTATATTACAACACACTGTGTTTGTAGATACATACCTGACAAACTTTGCACCTGTCCTTAGGGTCAATGATTTCTCTCTTTCCCCGACATTCTCCACAAATAGTCTGTATTTGCTGTATCATACCAGGACCAAGTTGCTGAATCTGTACTTGCATACCAGTGCCTCTACAGGTGGTACATGTTAGAACTGCACCCTAAATAAAAAAAAATATTTATATAATACATTTTAACTAATTTTGTCTAGTAAGTAATGTCTGTGTTTAGATTTTCTGGAGCTGTTTACTGAATAAAAACTTTGACATTACTGAAGAATATTTAAAAGTATTATTATGATTTAAAAGTTGCTCAGTTGATCAGGCAGTGTGTAATTGCCCATCAAAAGGTTTGTTTGGGTTAGAAGGCAGCCTGCCTATAAGGTTTGTTACCTATTTGTCTATAAAAAACAATGTTGCAGAAATTGATAGTGTTAGTTCATTTAAAGGGTTACATTCACTCTCTGGTCTTGATGTAGACATAATATACCTTCTTTCCGCCCCTGCCCTCACATTTCTCACAAATGACATTCTTCTGCAATGCCAGTTTTCGGACGGCACCTCGGTACAGTTCTTCTAGAGTAACTGACAACTGATGGACAACATCTTTGCCTTTCCTCTCGCGACCACGTCTGTTTCCGCCACTAAAGCCTCCACCAAAGAACATGTCAAAGAGGTCCATTGGTGATGACATGCCCCCACCATCAACACCACCTTCTTTCAGGGCTTGTTCTCCACCTATTAAACACAAAATTTAGATATATTAGAAAATACAATATATAAACATAGAAATAATACCAGTACTTCAAAAGATGTAAGTAAAGTTAAATTAATTACTGTGACTAGCTAGAATTCTGCTTTGGAGAGCCACTCACATCAGTCAAAATGTGAGTGGTGGCACAATGACCAACTCAAGTAAAACATAACATGAAAATAAATATACTATTGCAACATAGCTATTCAAAGTGTCAAATTATAGATGAATTGTTTGATGTATACAGAGCTTGTTAGTAAATAAAAATTCAGTCCACAATGTAATAATAAACAATTTTTTGATGATGTTAGTTATTAAATCATGCCAGAGAGTCTAAACAGAATTTCAATTTGTGGTATAGATTAAGACTCAAAAATATAAAATATTCATAAGACAAATGTGATTTACAAGAAAAGTAGTAGAAGATTTTTACTGTCATACTATAATATTACTTCTAAAGTACTCTTCAAAGACTAAGAGCATTCAATCAAATTATTTTAAGACATTTATTTTTGTCAACATAATAGAGCATTGTCATTGACAATGATAATAACAGACAAGGTAAAGATGTGAGAGAGAAGACCCTAAATTTGGGGTGCGGGGGGGGGGGGGGTGGGAGGGGGTAGTAATCACCCCCCACAAATTTTGGGCTTAGGAAACCAAAAAAAAAAAAAATTTTTTTTTTTTACAGTACTTAATCTGAAAATGATCGCAAGAAATCAGTGTCTAGTATATATGTAAAGCCAAGTTTTAAAAAATTATAATAAAATAACGCACATTCACGTAAAAAGTAACACAGGTTATTTTAAAAAATATTAATATACTAACCTAAGATGTCCACTATTTTTAGACGCCATTCGCACACGAAATTTGAAAATGATCGCAAGAAATCAGTGTCTGTACTAGACATATATTACAGACAGTATATAAAGCCAAGTTTTAAAAAAATGCTAATAAAATAACGCACATTCACGCAAAAATAAAAAACCTAAAAAGTAACGGCTTTTTAACTTATAATTTGCACTTGATCACTGTGAACACACACTGTTCTGGCAAAATCCAAATTCGAAATGGCCGATTGCGTTTATACTTTAAACAATGAATAGTAGAGAATAGAGATGTGAAAAATAATCTATTCTGTGAAAGTGAAAAAATCGATTATTTTAGTATTCGATTTTAATCCGATTTTAAATCCGATTTTGTTTTCGATTTTGAGTTTCAGTTGAACAGTTATTTAAAAAAATATTAATATACGGTTAGTATATTAATATTTATATAACCTAACCAATCTAAATAATATTTATTTTTGTGGACAGCTCCGATCTAAATAGTAATTGTTTATTCAAGCCTCGGCTTCTCGGCGTCCTGGTCGCCTTCGGCGACCAAATATTCATATACTAACTCTAACCTAACCAATCTAAATAATATTTGTTTTTGTGGACAGCTCCGATCTAAATAGTAATTGTTTATTCAAGCCTCGGCTTCTCGGCGTCCTGGTCGCCTTCGGCGACCAAATATTCATATACTAACTCTAACCTAACCAATCTAAATAATATTTGTTTTTGTGGACAGCTCCGATCTAAATAGTAATTGTTTATTCAAGCCTCGGCTTCTCGGCGTCCTGGTCGCCTTCGGCGACCAAATATTCATATACTAACTCTAACCTAACCAATCTAAATAATATTTGTTTTTGTGGACAGCTCCGATCTAAATAGTAATTGTTTATTCAAGCCTCGGCTTTTCGGCGTCCTGGTCGCCTTCGGCGACCAAATATTCATATACTAACTCTAACCTAACCAATCTAAATAATATTTGTTTTTGTGGACAGCTCCGATCTAAATAGTAATTGTTTATTCAAGCCTCGGCTTCTCGGCGTCCTGGTCGCCTTCGGCGACCAAATATTCATATACTAACTCTAACCTAACCAATCTAAATAATATTTGTTTTTGTGGACAGCTCCGATCTAAATAGTAATTGTTTATTCAAGCCTCGGCTTCTCGGCGTCCTGGTCGCCTTCGGCGACCAAATATTCATATACTAACTCTAACCTAACCAATCTAAATAATATTTGTTTTTGTGGACAGCTCCGATCTAAATAGTAATTGTTTATTCAAGCCTCGGCTTCTCGGCGTCCTGGTCGCCTTCGGCGACCAAATATTCATATACTAACTCTAACCTAACCAATCTAAATAATATTTGTTTTTGTGGACAGCTCCGATCTAAATAGTAATTGTTTATTCAAGCCTCGGCTTCTCGGCGTCCTGGTCGCCTTCGGCGACCAAATATTCATATACTAACTCTAACCTAACCAATCTAAATAATATTTGTTTTTGTGGACAGCTCCGGCGCTACGGGAAATGCAGCCCCTCCACCCTTGCGTACCAAAGCACAGGCATTTTATTCAAGCCTCCGCAACCTCGGCTTTTTGGTCGCCTCTGGCGACCAGCCTCAGCCGCTACAGCTTTCATAATGCCTGTGCTTTGTTACAGCGGGTGGGGGCTGCTCTTCCTCCGCGCCTCCGATTATTTATATACACTCTAGGGGTAAGGCAGACAAGACCACGTGGATAGTGGGGTGCTCTGATTCGGTTTTGGGTACTATTTGAATAATTTAATAATTTTCGGAACCATACATTAATTAAAACATGAAGTTAATGTAATGTATGTACATTTGACAAGTAATGCTTAAATTAGGTTCAACTATAAAATTAACAAATGAGAAAATAATCGATTCGATTAGGTTCAACTTTAAAAATAACAAATGAGAAAATAATCGATCCAATTAATTTACCGAAAATGTCACATCACTTATAACCAATAGAAAACGACAATGACACATCACTTATAACCAATAGAAATCGAGAAAGTCACATCTCTTATAACCAATAGAAAAGTAGTTAGATAATGGCGGATTGTTTATAATTTCAATACAATTGACAAAAGTTAAAAAAAATTTTTTAAATACTTTGACGCTTATCCTAAAGCTAAAATCACTTGGAGGTGTTCCAATCAAGGGTCCCCGAGACTCCTGCATAATCAGTATCATCAAATTCCAACGCATGGATATCAACCCCAACCCACAGACAAAATCATGATTATACAATTAAATTATGAAAAGACCATATGTGTTTCATAATGATGAAGTCAATGAGATAAAGGTGGTTCACATAATGTACATAGTTTTATAAATAATTAAAAAGTTTGTTATATAATATATTGTTACTATAACAAAATAGCAACATTATACAAATAATATGAATAATACAAATAATAATACCATCATACCTTGGTCATAGATTTTTCTCTTATCTGGGTTTGAAAGGACTTCATATGCTTGTGAAATTTGTTTAAACCTCTCACCCTCATTTGGATTTTTATCAGGGTGATATTTAAGGGCTAATTTTCTATACGCTTTCTTAAGCTCATCTGATGTGGCATTTGGTTTTACACAAAGTATATCATAGTATGTTGTTTCCTTCACCATCTTGTCACCTAAAACAATAGAATAATCTACTTTAATTAATTTATATACTTGTTGAACTTTTTAAATTATCATAATTAAGGACTAAAAGCCTATACAACATTTTCATAAAAGTGGGTTTCGTATAACACTAACCACAAACTACGGCAAGAAAATCTGTATTTGTGGGTAGCTGTAAATGGCATTTAAACACAATGAGGATATTAACCTATAATTATTTTAAAATGTTGAAAAAAATGTGAGAGTGATTATAGCACAAAATATAACAATGAAAACTTATTATGAAGATTTAACTTCTTTGGTGAACAGAATGTGGTTATAAGGCACAAATCATGGAAGTTGATTATCGACCAAGACCGATATAAAACATCAATTTAGTTAAAACTATTGTTTCTCTAAAACGGGAATATCAAGCAAATCTGAGGTTGAAAGTGGTATGACAAAGCTTTAATGATTTATCACTTTGTTCATAGTCGACTTCCATGAAAGATAACTTACAAATTCGCTGTTTGCATCATGCGTGAGATTTTATAATTGAATTCATATTATGCAGAAAAGGACTTCACCTTACCTTAATCAGGGCTAACGTTTTAGGTAACAGGCAATAACAGTAAAAGCGTAGTTTTCCAGAAACAACGATAAAACAATTTTGAACACGCGACACGAGCACCTTAGCGTATTAAAACTCGATAGCGAATGACGACTGACGTTTCGCAGAACGAAATAAGCATAGAACCTTCTTCACTATGAATTTACGCAAAAGTCGATCAAACTTGCGTTGTTTCTAGAATGTTCTCCATTTTCCATTATACGGTCCATGGTTGAAACTAAATACTTTTATTTTTAATGTATACTGAAAAACTCTTCTTAATAACTTGTTATTAAAATTTTAAGCAATTTTAAATTAATATTAAATTATTATCATATGGCTTAGCTACTATAGCAGTTAACTTGTTGCTTTAATTTAATGCGTAAAATTGAACGTTTCTGTTTTGCTGTACACAGATGAAGGCTAAACCAAAGATTAGATTAAAATAATATCCTCGGCATAAACAAAGAAATATATATTTAAATACTTTATGTGGATAAGGTACATTCAGTCATTAAAATTTAAATAAATGAGAAAAACTTAGGCCGATATATATATATTTGTTCACTGTTATATATAACAGTGAACAAAACAACAAAGGCCGAGAACAAATTTAAATTAAATTAAAACTTGCCCTCGAACCGGGAAGCGAACCCGGTACCCCTCATTTAGCTGCCATTTAATAAGAGCGCTAGGCTATGAGGATTGAGGCCTCTAAATGTGAGTCTAATTAAGTCATGTTTTCCAAGCAAGCACAGATAACACTACTCTATGATGTCAATTGTCAAGTGGTAATCAAAATAGTTATGTCAGTAGCTATATACTGCCTTGTTGCAAGAGTGACCGATGACATTTGCCTGATAACAGAGTGATAAAATCATAAAAGTGATAATTTCGCTTTAATACACTGCGGTCGCGACTAGGCTATTCATTAGTCGATTAATTATTATATAAAACACTGCACCACGAACATTGCAATCCTTATACACGCTTGTATATGTTAAATAGTGAATTAACGTGAGGGAGAGTTTTCAATTGTAAATAAATATCATGGCTGAGAAACAAATAAAAAATCGTGTGTGCATTGTGGGTTCAGGAAACTGGTAAGGCTTATATTATATAGTAGTTTATTGGTTATTGTAACTTTAATATGATGGCAACGTTTGCGGAGTGTTTTGTAATAATTAATTATAAGTTAAGTTAGTATATAATTTTAAAAAAAACATTGTCTATAGGGGATCTGCGATAGCAAAAATCGTTGGTAAAAATGCAGCGCGCCTTTCAAATTTTGAAGACAGAGTCACAATGTGGGTGTATGAAGAGATCATTGAAGGCAAGAAGTTGACGGATATTATTAATGAAACACATGAAAATGTCAAATACCTTCCAGGTCATAAATTACCAGAGAATGTGGTAAGTATCAACTCTAGACGGGAGATATTTCAACCTAAAACAAATATCTTTTGTTTTAAATTAAGCATTAAATGCAGTAAGGCATAAACACAACCTGCCCCTTACATTAAAATTCTGATTTTAATCTCTATTGCTTTTATAATATTTATGAAACTATGTTATTACTATTAAGACTTAAATAAATAGAGTAAGCTTAACTTATTTTACAGTTATGTATTTCTTAAAGTTGTATAATTGAATTGCATTTTTTAAAGGAAGTTCGTTAAGTTTAGTAAAAATTATTAATTATCTTGATTACACTTATCTAGAGGTGACATCCATTAAGATAAACTGCAGTCTTTAACTTTCTCTGAGAACATTTTATTTTGTCAATACTTATAATTCATTACATTCCTGGTGTAAAAATATGGCTAATTTTAACCAGTTTTTATCAGTTTCAGTTGTTAATTAAAAGCTCTATTGTTGAATATTATTAACTGTGATAGCATAAATTGTTAATTATTTCTGCATTATTTGGTTGTGTATTAGATTAGTATGAATTTGTAGTTAATTTAGTTATTGTGATTGTTGAAAAAACCATCAAAGCTATTTTTCAATGTATTGTTTTTATTGAATGCATTTTAAACCAACATAGGTAATCTAAGAATTGCATTTACACTAATTAAAATTAGACCCTGCATTGAGTATGAGTATACAAAAATAACTTGACTAACTCTAAAAACACAGCATTTAGTTATCCAGGAATGGTAAGTACAGAGAATGAAATATACTTATTTTTAGGTTGCTGTACCGGATCTAGTGACAGCAGCTAAAGATGCTGATCTCCTGATATTTGTTGTGCCACATCAATTTGTGAGGACACTATGTTCTACACTTCTTGGACAAATTAAGCCTACAGCAGCTGCGTTATCACTTATCAAGGTAAGATTAAAATACCTATTTAATGATTGACCCTACCACTGACGTGAATTAACACATAAAGGTTTATAATATGATTATGAATCCATCACTTATCGGCTTTGATTTTAAAATATCAAACCATGTGAGATTATATAAAAAAAAAGAAGTTTTATGTACTGCTACAATGTTATGGAAATGTGGCGATAAAATGTTGATGGCATTGAAAAAAGCGTGTATGGGACATGAGCCGTATCATATATTTTTAGTGCGAACATATGACTTGGCGTGTACAATATGAGTATGTGACCTTGGAACACACATACCGCTTATGTTACGTTTTTTTAACCCGAAAAATTATGCTTCCTTATTAAAAAGTTACAGAATTATACTAATTAATTTATTGTATAAAATGTATATTTAATGAGTCAAGTTAAATACATATTGTAATAATTTCGCATTCATATTCGTGTTTAATTATAACTGGTATATAGTTATGGAGCCTAACAACGCATTGGACAGAGTATAACAGGTTACAAATAAAAAATATAATTTTGAATAAATAAAGTTTAGTTTTGCGCGAGTAGATTTTTAACATTAAATATTTTTAGTTTTATTGCCCTGATTTGTGTTAGAATAATTAAGAAAAAATATTTTATTTTCCAATCTTATCGTTTTTAAACGTAAAATTTATGACAACTAGATTAGAGAAAATCGACTTCATAATCGATTTACGATCTTAATGGTTTGCTAATTACGTTTATTATTTATTACAATTCCACTCCGCTATGTCGGATAGGGAAGTGGGCATCGTGTAAATTTGTCACACCTGGTGCCAATGCTATCGGCGCTGTTAGTGTCGTCGATGGAAGTCTGAGTCGAGAGTTTAGCTTAAGTGCACTGTTAGAAGAATTTTTCATTATTACTTTAATTTCCAGTGAATGGCATCGTTATTTCTTCGTATTTATGTTATTTTATATGTACAGAAATGGAACCTTGTCCTTTTGTGTATGTTTTGCGTTCTAGCTTACACCAGATTCAAATTCATTTAAAATTTTGTCTTATCTTGGGCTACGTCAATTTCTAAAGTCCTTTGCAGACGACATAACAATGGTTTGTGCATTGTAATTTGCACTTTAACGCCCGAACCCAATAACCTATCACAATCCATAATCCACCACCTGAGATAGTAATCAGTAATCAATCGACGGATTGTAATAGCCATCTGTCGATACAAGCTATCCATGGGAGGTCGTATCCTTTATATGAAAATAGACCTTTGTATGAAAATGACAGTTGACGAAATCTCGATTTCAACAGTTAATTATTTTAACAGATTTTAACTTACACCAGTTTTTTAAATAATTCATGAAAACTGTTTGTTATGTTTTAAACATACACATGTATATTTTAATGTTATTTGTACGGTTTTATTTAGTTTATTTGGTTTACATTGCTATCAACATATTTGATAGTGAATATAGTGAATTTTCAGTAAAATGGAACATTTTATCCGTCGCCAAAAATGGATTTTCTTCGTAGGGTTTGGTTATTGGGATGATGATGAAGATCGATCGACTGTCACGGTCTGATTTGAAAACAATCTGAGATCTTGTATTGAGAGATTGTGGATTGATTATTGGGTTCAGGTGTAAATAAACCAATAAAGACAATTACTAAAAGTGATCACACAAGGTCGTAACGTAACGTCCCCATGGGCATTCCTGCATCTGTTTTATTCATAATTATTCTTTAGGAGTTAGGCGCGTACGTTTTTTTGTTCTACACGCCGCGGCCGTTCCTATTACGAATATTTCCTGTGATTCGAACTCATGACATTAGAACAGCTTGACTCTCAGGCTAACACTGCTTTAGAGTCTTCTTATAATTATTCTAAAATAGCTTAGCCTTAAGAGTTATATCACAGGCGAGAACTGTTAGATAATATAATTTGGCAGGGCTTCGACATCGCTGAAGGTGGCGGTATTGACTTGATCTCGCATATCATTACAAGATGTTTGAAGATTCCTTGCTCGGTACTCATGGGTGCCAACATTGCGTCAGAGGTATGATAAATTTTATATAATCCGACTTTAGAAAAAGGTGGTTATCAGTTTAATGAATTTGATATTGCTGCAATTGGAAAATATTTGAGTATGATGTTTTTAAGCTTCCAAGTGTGTATTTTTGATCATATTTTGATTTATAATACACACATATATAATGTTAACATGTATTTGTATTTTTTTGGTTTTTTAAAACTTCTGTTTAACATAGTTTTAAGATTTGGTAAGTTTATATAGTGGTCCTACGTTAATAGAGATTTTACGTCAAAGACCGTTTTTCTTTACAAAAGCGAAGGTAGTTAACCGTGTAATCCCTGTTTGAGTGTGTGCTACACACACACTTAAGAAATTGGTCTTTCGGTTACGAAAATCTGTGGCTTACTTGTGCATACTTATTTCCTGATATACCTATCTTATTTGATACATTACATTAAACATTTATTTTTAACTTTTAAATTCGCACAGCAAACCTTTACCTTCATTAGTCTGTTTCTATTTATAACGTTTCACCTTGGCAGTGTGTTTCGTTTAACGAGATTATTTAGGGCTGGCAACACGGAGTTACTATATACCTCGCACGAGGTCAATATATGATGACAATTGGGAGCAGTGGTATAATTTAATAGCTTTTAGAAAAGTAATAAGCCAGTAGTACGCCCAATATCCTGGTCTGACCAAGTGTCCCAAAACCTACGCTCGTAAGTTTCTGATGCTATTCACCAAGCTGGATGGAAGCAGCGGTCGGGAGCATGATGACGCTCAGCTATCTTATAAATCTATATTGATAAATATATAATGTCGATGTATTCTTAAAACCTATAATTAATGATACGGACAGTACGTATTTATTGACGATACTAGCGTCGTTTAAGGCTTATTTAACTTTAACGATATGTTTAGATTTTAAAAATACTTAAAGAAGTGTTCATTCTACTGTTGGGTCATTCAGAAATTATTCCTAAGAGCTCAGATAAATTGAGTGATGCTTGCAAATTAACGGGAAAATCAAATACAGGTAGCAGAAGAAAAGTTCTGCGAAACAACCATTGGTTGTCGTGATGTAATGCTGGCCCCGCTGATGAGGGACATCATCCAGACAGAGTACTTCAGGGTGGTGGTCGTTGATGATGAAGATGCTGTTGAAATCTGTGGTGCTCTGAAGGTATGCAATTTTTTTTTATTATTGTATGTAAATATTAGCTAAAAGTGTATAAGGTTTAAATAAAACTCTTTTAATGTATTAAGCGAACGCAAATCTATTATCTATACTTTATTGCATTTAAAACAATTTGGAAAAGAATAAAAACTATTGTGTAACCGGTGGTTTCATCGCTGTGTAGCGACTCTTCGACATCTTATGACAACCCTAATGAAACAAAACAGTCATAAAAAATATTATTTATAAGGTTTTGAAAACATAAGCATTATGAAGTGTCTTTTTAGTAAGATCTGCATAAATTTAGGATAATACCTTCGACAGACCGAGCAGGTGAGATGCCTGTCCGTTTGGCATCTGTTCTATAAATAAATCTTTTAAAATTAGATTTGTGGTCTACTTCGTCGAATATTTTTATATGAGACTATGTAGTATGGTCGAAAGACTAAAGCCTGGCCATTTGGCGAAAAAAACAATTGTCACATATGTTGCTGTTATTTTATTCTGTAACATAAAAATCTTGCCGCCAATTTTTTCCCGCGCTGGGACTTTCATTAAGCAACTAAAATTGCTGAAGTAAAGGGATCGCTTTAATACTTATTATCAGTTATAATACTCCAGATAAAGGTTATCCATGATAAATATTATTAGTTCCTTATCGATATTAATATCCAACTACACTGTAATTTAAACATAACAAAATGTTATTACATCGAACAGATTTTATTGCAAATAAATTTTATTTAACTGGACGATAAGAGCGCGAATTAGGCTAGCAAAATTCATGATTATTATTAAGGTGGGAACTGACCAAAGTTACGAGGTGTAATGTAACACGTTACACAGCGAGCATTCGTGCAGTCAGTACGTCGTGTTACGGGGGAAACCAGCGAGCGACGAGCCGCTCGTTGCTCGCTTTGAGTGCTCCACCCGGCTGTCGGTTTTTTGGCGAATCCTTTGACTGTTACGTGGTTCAGTCAGTACGAGTCGCACGTCGCGAGTGATCATGATTATGATTTTCTATAAATTTTGTCTTTTTTACGTACTTTTTGGTCCAATTAAATTCAACAGTTCTTCAAAATTGAGACATGCGTAAAAGTTTTTATACTGTCCAGTAATCATTTGGTTTTTTAATATTGCAATCAATAACAAACCACCTCATACGGCTGTGTTTTTAAATAAGTTTGATGTCCAGTTACATTTTTTCTTCTTCTTCTTAATTTGGATGAAACAATAATTAAATAGAATGAAAGACATCAACACGTCCTCGCTGTCGGCCATCTCGTGAACACTGGTGGCGAAAGCGGAGCACAGAGTTTTGAAGAGCATGTTACGCCGATTTTAAAACACAGCGTAACATGCTCGATGCGTAACACCCTCGATGCGAATGCTACATTACACGTCGTAACTTTGGTCAGTTCCCACCTTTACCCGTGCGTCTCCCTTCGCTCGCTGTAGCGACTAGTGAAACAAACGTATGCCTGAGGACCGCGTGAGATAAGACTGATGAAACTGTGGTTTGCGGAACAAAAATGAAGTAAACGCCAAATGCTTCTTTTTAAATAACTAGTAAAATTAACAATATTTTATATAATAGCTAGCTATAGAGCTGTTAGCTCTTAGCAAAACTTATGCGCTGTAATTCAATTACTAGGATCGAATAGAAACGAAATTACGCAAAAGTTTGAGGTGACTTTGTTTTGGTTTTGTATCCAGAAATTTATATTGTATTGTGTTTTAAATTAGAGTCAACCACTGAAATTATAGTGAAGAATCAATATATACTATATTGTTTTTAATTCCAGCATCAAATACTTAGATAAACTAGATAGATAGGTAGATAATTAGATGGAAGACTACGTAAATCGAATAGCCAACATAATATAAAGATTTTTGTACGTATAAAACACGCACCTTGGCCGTATTCGAAAGTACATGAACGCACAAGCCTAGTTATGTAACTAGCGAAATCAATTCGCGTTTTAAAAAAAATTGAGAGAGCAGTGTACTAGCATTTACTAAAGATTTTCTTTGTTCATCATCATCACCATCTATCTTGTTAATCACCTTCAAAATTTACTGCTATGATTTCCGTATATCGAAATTCTATAGTTTTACGGATTACCAAGATAGGTCTCGCTCGGGCCCAGCTGGTGACGCCAAGTCCACTAGACCTAAGCAAATAAATTCTCTTTTTAGGAAAGGGAAGATTCGACTCTCCCCTGCTGCCTAGTTTTCGGCCACAAATCTGCCTGAACGCGTGTCTGATAGGCTACTATGTAGGGTAAAAAAAATAAAGATATGTCCATAGAATTACGGTCTTTTCATAGTTTTCTTTAAATTTATTATAAGGTGTCTTAATTAGACAGATTGACATATATACTTACCGCCACAATAATAAGCCTCTACTGAATAAAAATTATAAAAATGTTTGTGGGCCGCTGCAATATAATTGATTTGAATATGATCAATGGATATCCGGATTTAACACTAAAATGTTTTCGACATTTTAAAAGGTTAATCTTGATATATTCATAATATTTCCAGATACTATTATGTGCATTAAGTTATGTAATTTATGCCGTGTGTATTGTCGTTATGAAGACAATAATTTCTCCTGTACTTATGCGACCGAAATGTTACGTACCGATATACAGTTGCAGGGTCAAATTTCTATGTCTTACATGCAAAATAATAATAATAACAGAATCAATCCAAATAATGAAAGGGTCAGTTATTGGACGCTATATTTAAACATCTCTGTGTCCTTGGCACGACAGTCCCATGCGCAGAGGCTGTTTTAGCGCAGAGGAATCAGTCACGTAGTCCTGGAATGCTGAGGCTTCCCAACGAGCATAAGGTCTTCGGAGCAGTGAGGTCGCTCCGTGCTTGCGAAATGCCCAGGAAATTTCTGAGCTTCTGGAAGGAGATGGCTTAATCAGCACGGAAACTGCGTCCACCCGACTACAACTACTAATACCCACATTAATCACAAAGGGGCTGATGTATTACGCCTGACATTTTATTGTGCAGAGGCTGTCCTGAAATATCCTAAAGTGCGTGGCTGTGGCTTCCCAACCAGCAGAAATCCTCGCTCCTTGCGAAATGCCCAGGAAATTTTTGAGCCTCTGAAAGGAGCTATGTTGGCTAAGCCAGGACCTATAAAGGACCAAATGTGCGTTTAAGTGCGGGTTTTTAGTCGTGTGCTAGTTTTTAGTCACAGAGGGGCTGATGTTTTACGCCTGACATTTTATTGTGCAGAGGCTGTCCTGAAATATCCTAAAGTGCGTGGCTGTGGCTTCCCAACCAGCCGAAATCCTCGCTCCTTGCGAAATGCCCAGGAAATTTTTGAGCTTCTGAAAGGAGCTATGTTGGCTAAGCCAGGACCTATAAAGGACCAAATGTGCGTTTAAGTGCGGGTTTTTAGTCGTGTGCGTAGTTTTTAGTCACAGAGGGGCTGATGTTTTACGCCTGACATTTTAATAATTAGTTAAATTCTTATTGTAAGCACGCACGTTGGTAATACTAGACAATGTCTTTGGCACGATAGTCCCTTGTGCAGAGGTTGTTGAAGCGCAGAGGAGTCAACCACGTAGTCCTGGTATGCCTGGCTGTGATTTCCCAACGAACAGAAATATTCGCAGTGAGGTCGCTCCGTGCTTGCGAAATCCCCAAGAAATTTCTGAGCACCCTTCTACTTCTACCCTTTGGGGTTTTACGCCATGTGTGAAAACCACGGAGGGGCTGATGTATTACGCCAGAAATTTTAATAGTTTAATTTGATTATGTTATCTCTTCGATTACAAGCACGCACGTTGGTAATACTAGACAAATCTGTTTACATGGTTATCATGTGGGCATGTCTAGTTTGTCTAGTCTGGATTGAGTTGATATACAGCAATGTAGAACTCGTCCCAAGTATAAATATTTGAGGCCCAAGAAGTCACTGGCAGACCCATATCGAATAGCTTTTTGTTTCCCAAAAAAAAATGTATCTTATGTATTTAGTCCGAAACAGAAATTCTTCAACTATTGGTTCCTATTAAAAGGTGAAGTAAATTAATGTAATTATTACTTTCAGAATATAGTGGCTGTTGGCGCTGGCTTCGTGGATGGTTTAGGGTTTGGTGACAACACGAAAGCAGCAGTCATCAGACTCGGTTTGATGGAGATGATCAAATTCGTCGATGTCTTCTACCCAGGCAGCAAACTCAGTACCTTCTTCGAGTCCTGCGGTGTTGCCGATCTTATTACTACGTGTTATGGTGAGAAAAAATACAAAATTTATTTATTTATACGTAATCATACAGCTACACATATCTATATTATATACCAAAGCGCAGAACCAGTCTGTTGCGCAGATACATCAAAGACGTTGCGTCTACTGTCTCCGACACTATCGACATATTGATATGTTCGCTGAGTGAATTTACAGTAGCGATATTATAATCTTTATTATATTTTATTTTTCTCGACATTATCGTATTGGCATAGTCTGTAAAGATAATGTATGTATTACTTTAATAAATAAATATTATAAAAGAAAATATACTAAGCCAAAACAGATTACATTGATAAACAAAATATGTGAAAGAGAAAAAGTACATTAATATATTTAAAAAAAAAACTAAACGACAATATTTAAAGTAAACTGTTACTACTGCTAAATATATACTGACGGACTCATAAACTGCATCAAAGCAAAAAACGACTTTGAAATAAATATTTTAACCAAGTATGCAAACTTTCTACACAGATTTCGAAGGCACTATGAAACTCAAACTGGTTTCCTTTTTCCCGATCATATACTTCACAATAAATAATTTTAAAGCATTATTATTTTCTTGCCTTTTAAATCGCAATTAGGTTTTAATTGACTTCAAAAAATTAACTGAAGAAAGGGTTTTTTGTTTCTCATTGTAATTTCTGTTGGTAAATCAGTGGCGCTACAACCTATTTAGATCTGGGCCTCAGATTTCTGAATCTGTTTCATGATCATTTCGAGTTTTTAGGTCTAAGACATGGCGGTTTCCTCACGATGTTTTCCTTCACCGTTGAGCGAATGTTAATTGCGCACATAGAAAGAAAGTCCATTGGTGCACAGCCGGGGATCGAACCTACGACCTCAGGGATCTCTAAGTCCTATGCTCAGTGTCCGTTGGTTTAAATATTTATTATTTATGATATGATAGGTGGCAGAAATCGTCGTGTAGCCGAAGCGTTTGTGAAGTCCGGCCGATCGATCAAAGAGCTGGAAGACGAAATGCTGAATGGACAGAAGTTGCAGGGTCCTATCACCGCTGAGGAGGTTAACCACATGCTTGCCAACAAGAATATGGAGAATAAGTAAGATCATTTAACATTGTTTGAATTTGAGATAGAAAAAAAAAGAAATAAAGACTTTTTTTATTTCTAAAACAAATATCGAGTTGTGCGTTCCGGGATGGCCCATCTCTACTGTATACAGGATGTTGCGTAATAATATGGTACCTGCGGGTAGAAGACGTTGTGGCGGTTCAGAAATATATATTTTACTAGCTGATCCGGCAAACGTCGTTTTGCCATGTTTATCATTTATAATAAAAAATAGGGGTTGATCGTAGAGGGGTGCAAATTAGAGGTTGTATGTAGTTTTTAATGCTGTATCATAAAAATTAAAAAATTAAAAAAAAATTAGGGGTGGACTACTCTTAACATTTAGGGGGATGAAAAATAGATGTTGTCCGATTCTCAGTTATACCCAATATGCACACAAAATTTCATGAGAATCGGTCAAGCCGTTTCGGAGGAGTTTAATCACAAACACCGCGACCAATGGCGTAGCTACCTAGGGGCTAGGCAGTGCCCCGGGGCCCTCAAGCTCAGGGGGCCCTCGAATCCTTAAATTTTTCTCTTTTTCAAAATAAATATGCCAGGTTGCAATCCCACTTTAATCATGACAACTCAGCTGAGAGAAATTCAAAAGTTATCTCTAGGGAATTCCCATAAATTCTTTCTGTAGGTTGGCAGCGTCGTCAATTTAACGGATATGTGCGTTTTGGAATTCGAGATTGGAAGCATTTATTTTGAAAGAATTAAGCAACACAGTTGTTCGAGTGTCGAGTGCCCTGCAGAGCTTAAGAAGCTTAGCATTTTTAAAGTATTTGTATATTCATATTTTTATTTGATAAAACCTAATCAGTTTACACAGCAGCGGGCCCCATTTTACAATTTTCCCCAGGGCCCTTGGTTACTTAGCTACGCCACTGACCGCGACACGAGAATTTTATATATTAGATATTAAGTAAACAATCCTTCGGTTTTCTAGATATTCGACATTATTGATAATTAAAAAAGTACAATCTCTGCCACTCTTTTTCGTGACAAAACTGCAACTGATATAGGATAGATAATAGATGCGCTATCGAATGAAAATAATGTGATGTTCTCTATGATGTTCAAATTTTTCAAAATTACATACAAATTTTTCTGAACCGCCACAATCTCTTCCATATTACCCTTTCATTACGACATACCTGAACATGTATTTGCATGATAGTTTCATCATACGTATATGATATTTTATATTATTAATTCCGCTATATCTTAAAATCTTACGTCATTTACCAATCAAATTACAATTTAATGTATACAATTTACCACAGTAAGTCCGATAATACCAAACGAAAAACCTTGCGTCAACAATGGCAGTTACAAACACACTCTCACGTCAATAAAAAATGCCTCTAAATTTACTGCCAGTTCTCAAATTTGGTAGTGAAACGAGAACTGGCTCAAACTCATACTGTAAATAACTTTATTCATATGGGTAACCAAGTACACTTATGAATGTAAATGGAATGGAAGGGGCAACTAGAATCTTCTTTGTATTTTGTTTGACGTTCAAAAGTGCCACTTTAGGTGGTCTAATTGAAATAAATGATTTGACTTTGACTTTGAAACAGAAAGAAGTTAAATTAATTGTAAATTTACATTTACTACCAGTTCGCAAGTCAAGGGCGTAGAGCGGGCAAGAAACTACGGCACTCTTTTTAATCGCCAAGTTTTGAGTCATACAAATTGTTTGAACTGGAGCAAATCAATCCCAAGGATTACGATCATTTAAATAATCGTCAAATTTATAAAGAGCTGTTTTGATTAATTTATTCAGTGATAATTCTCTAATTTCGCTTGGGAGTTTGTTATAAAACTTGTTCAGTTTTTGTCTTACAAAATGTTTGAAGGGGGCTGCTCCACGTAAATTATATAAAGATTATAATTGAAATGAATAGTATTAAGATACAAAATATTAAAACATAGTTACGCGAGCCCCGTGCTGAGTCTAATTTTATTCATTGAATAGTTGGCAAGTTCGCTATTGTGTTACTGCTTATCTATGATAACGTATTCGAATTTAAAATTATTTTCCGAGTCTCATTATATATAACATACTAGCGGCCCATGATATGTTCTTTAATATTGTGGAAGATTTTTTTGTTCTATCATCAATAGTTTTCGCAGCGCATGCGACGAAATTTATTTCATTTTATAGGCATTTTTTGACACCTTGGGTAACATTATTGTAGTTTTAGTAGGGATCCTTATTTTTTTTGCAATTAAAATAGCCTATATTAATCAGTGATAATGTAACAACAAATTTTTTCATTTTTCAAATGGTGAAAGAATTTTTAAAATCAGTCCAGTACTTTTTGAGCCAATTCGTTACAAACATACTTACATACAAATCTTTCCTTATTATAATATAAGTATGACAAAGCAATACATACACATAGATAGAGAACATCACAACATTAAACAGTAATAGATTTCAATATTTACAAAAAATAATAAATGGAATACTGTTTTCACCTCTGGGCGGGAGCTCCCCAGTACCAGCTCCTTCCACTTGACCGTATTCAACGAAGAGCGATTCGAATCGTCGACGACCAGTCACTTTCCGTGCGGCTTGATCCCTTGGCGTTGCGTAGAGATGTGAAGTCTCTCTGCATCTTCTACCGCATTAACCATGGAGAGTGTTCTCTGAAGTTGTTCGGTCTAATACCTGCAGCTGAGTTTCATCATCGGACGTCAAGGCAAAATACAAAATACCATCCGTATCAACTTGACGTCCGTCGTTCCACAACTGAGCGTTTTCTAAGGCAGTTTTTGCCGTGCACCACCACTATGTGGAACCAGCTGCCCACTGAAGTATTTCCGAACCAATTCGACTAAGGGTCCTTCATGATAAAAGCGTACCAATTCTTAAAAAGCCGGCAACGCACTCGCAAGCCCTCTGGCATTGAGTGTCCATGGGCGGCGGTATCACTTAACATCAGGTGAGACTCCTGCCCGTTTGCCTCATTAAAAAACATTTCACTTAAAAAAAAACGTCATAGTCGTAGAATAAGTGACGGATCTGACAAATAGTAATCTTCGTTTTTGTCATAACTATTTTAATTCATATTCTGAAAATTGACATACAAGCAAACAAAAGGGTTTGTTTTGAAACAAAATAAAAATAATAACAAATTATACAGTTTTCTAGAAAAATCACATGTTTCTATCGAATCCGTCACTTTACCGACTGATTCATTTGAAATTTTATTCACATGGAATTTTATTTTAATGTAGCCGTAATATTTAGTCAATGTAGTATACAAAAATATGATAAAAAGTGGATTTTTTTCAAATCCGACATTGTTCTACGATCATGACGTTTTGTCAGTTCACTCAACGGACAATTAAAAACGTCTGTTAAGTATATATTTATATAAACATATATATATATCTTTATATTATATATACTGTCGCTTTTTTTCCTGTTCAGTGGCGTATAGCTCAGGATTATTGAAGTGAAACTTCTTTATCGGGGTTGGAAAAAAATTTAGTGTAACATTTTTGCGTTATGCGTCACATTTTTCCGTTACGCGCCATGTTGCTTTTTGAAGTCAAACTTCTTTATCGGCGTTAAAATATGACATATTATAGTATGTTTTTGACTTTGAAGTTTGACAACGGATTACATTTTCGAAGTCAAACTTCTTTATCGGCGTTAAAATATGACATATAGTATGTTTTTGACTTTGAAGTTTGACAACGGATTACATTTTCGACTTGAAATTTGCTAATCGTAATTTGCAGCAATTAATTTGTAAATTGTATGCTAGGCAGTGTATCAAAATTTACTGTGTTTAAAGAAATAGTTTCGGACCTCTAAACTTAAAACAAACCAATTATGGCTCTGCGTACAACAAAGGTTTTATATAAGTTTCACTTCTTACGTGTGTACACCTAGTACACGCACACATTTTTTTCTTAATTCTGTTATATTTCTCCCTACTGGCTACTCTTCGTCTTTCTAGCTCTTCCTCGCTCTTTTGTTTCTTTGGTTTGGCCATTGTTAATAATCGATAGTTTCCCTACAAAGTAAAAAAAACATACTTTATAATTTTTATCATTCGTGCACTGTTTCATATCATTCGTATGACATCTGAGTCGACACGAATGAGAAAATTGGAAGATTTTTAAAATTTACCAGACTGACAGTAACGTTCTAGAATATACGACGACTCATTGTTCTAGTGGTTAGTACCCCTGACTGCGAATCCATGGGTCCCGGGTTCGATCCCCGGCTGAGACGAACATCGATGTGATGAGCATTTGGTGTTGTGCTTAGGTCTTGGGTGTTTAAATATGTATTTATATGTCTATCTATCTATGTATGTATATCCGTTGCCTAGTACCCATAACACAAGCTTCACCAGCTTAGCATGGGACTCGGTCAATTGGTGTGAATTGTTTTAAAAAAATATATATATATAATCTCACAATAATCAATATATGCACTTAACACTTATATATCTAAATGACGTAAAAACCAAACAACAAATAATTGAATACAATGTGTGGACAAACACTAATGAGGTAATTTTTGTTTAAGTTTCAAAATCTTACCTGATATTGGAATTTTTTCTTCAAATTACGACGTACACTACTGCACACCAAGAAAAGGATCGCGCGGGGTAAAGGGCGCGGTAAAGGGAAGTGTCCGAGTGGTTATTGCGCACTTGATAACGCCCACACGAATGAAATTGTAAATAGGAACTTTATTAAGAAGCTTAGAAATCGTATTTCTTTTGTTTTTATAAATGTCCTAATATCCAGTTAATATTCTTTCTTAATTGTATTATACACTAATTGAATAAAAAAACCCGAATTCCAATTCGTATTATTGAAATAAAAAGGAAACAAGGTGGAATTTGAATTTCGAACCAGTGATACGAATGAGATTTGGGTTAGTTTTTACAGGATAACTCCTTATTTTACAGTTTTCATGAATATATAGTGATATGACAACGTGTCTGTCGTCAA